TTGCTCTCTCTGTGCTCAGCACCTCTGGCCCCCCCCTCCCCTCACCCTGCCGGGGGCTGGGGCCCAGGAGCTGTTCTCTGTCTTACAGGGACTTTGCTTCTTGCTCTGACTCCCTGGTTTCTCACAGCGGCCAGGAGAGGAGGCAGCACAGGATAAATCATCCCATTTCACAGAGAGAGGCACTAAGGCAGGGGCGGGCCTCAGGGAGAGTGAGGGCCACGCCTCAGGTCTCCTCCTCCTGTCTGGGCTTTTACTGTGATAACACGGCTTCTGGGGCCCCAAAGGCAGGGGAGAGAGGAGAGAGCCGTGAGGATCATCGGGGGTCAGAGGACCCAGGTTTTCTTTGGGGTCAGGCCACTGACTGGTCACTGTGTGACCTCAGGCAAGTCTTGAGTCTCTGGGCCCCGGGTCCCTCCCACAGAACCTGGGACAGGGTTGCTTGTCTTGCGGGCAGTGTAAGAGGATGTCACCATGGGAAGCTGGGCATAGGGGCGCACACAGAAGCAAACCACAGTGTGTTACTGCTCCTGGCCTGTCCTCTCGTTTGGGGAGGGAGAGTAGAAGCAGATGCCACGGAGTCAGCCCCAGAGGTTTTTGGAAGTGGGCTGAGTGGGGACCCCCCAAATGTGTGGGGGCCAAAAAACATTATTTCTTTTCCTTCTACCTTCTAAGTTCTTCCAGGCTGGGTTTACAACCAAATTAACAGAAGAAAATCAAAGTTTAATACATGCGCATGGGGAATTCACATAGACATGATCAGTCCATGAAAATTCCAAAGACAGTGAGGCAGCGTTGGACATATAAGACATTTTTGGACAAAGGACAAATGGGAGACAGGGTGTTAGATTCCAGAAGTGAGAATGGGCCATTTGCAGGTAGTGGAGGGAGAGTGGACAGCACATGGCAGGTGAATCCTTGCTAAGAGACCCAGAGACAATGGGACAGGGGTATTTAGCTAACAAACCCCTGCCTGAAGCCCTCCAATTTACTACGCTCAATTCAAGTTAGGCCAAGGTGACATCCTAAATTCTCCTTCCTGAAGCAGGTTTGTCTGTCTGAATCTCTTGGGCAGGAAATGAGAGAGGGTCAAAGGTTCTTTCTGAGCTTTGTTTAACAGCTTAAATCAATATTGCAAAAAGCAGCTTCACGGTGGCAGAATTTGGGTTCCTTCAACTGCAATGAAGAAAGAATAGTAGTGATGGCCGTGGAGGGGATGGGCCAGTGTTAAAGAGAACCAGGGAGGGGTAGCAATCTTGTCTCCCTGAGGCCCAGAGCAGTGCACATCCAGGTCCTTGGAAAAACTGATGTCAAGGGCCTGATGCAAAGGGGGATGTTTGGTATTGGGCTGGCCAGCTGCAGAAGGTGACCACACCCTCGGCTCCAAAGTCTTCCTGCTACGGGACAAGGAGATTCCCTGCTCTGAAGGCCATGGATCCAGTGGAAACAGAGGCAGAAACAGAGGCCCGGGCAGGAAGAAAGGCTTTCCTATGGCACCAGAGGTTGTGCTTAAAGGGGTGTATCCAGGCTTCAGTCAGAGGTTGAGTCGGTCTGGGGTCAAGGCCAGGGCTGTGGTGCCTCTGGGTGGGATTCAGCCTCACACCTCATCTGAGCTCAGTTGGGGTGACATAGATGCAAAATCTGTGCCCACATCAGCAGTCCCTGGGGATGAGACTCTGTGTGCAGGGAATAGTCACCAGAAGTCAAAAAGCAAAATCAATAACCAGGACATTTATCCAAAGAAGCCCTTTGTGGCCTCTGCAGCCCTGATGGGAGGCACGTACCGCAGTGAAGGCAGCAGAGCAGAGACCTAAAGCTCTGGTTTGCCTGAATGACTCTGAAAGGAGCAATCCTGTGTGCGTGTGCGTGTGCGTGTGCGTGTGTGTGCGTGTGCATGTGCGTGTGTGTGCGTGTGTGCACGCGCGCTTTCTCATTGCCTCTCAGGGAACATGGTGAGAACCTGAAGGCTGAGCGTTGAGAGCAGGGGGCAGAGAGGTGGGAGGCGGGGAGCAGCTGGAGAGGCAGGGATGTGGTGGAGAGGCGGGGAGCACAAGAAAATCAGGGAAAGCTGAGAAACAGAGGGAGAGAGAGCAAGAGAGACCCAGAAAGGAATAAAGAGAGAGGGATATCCCCCCCAACAGAGAACCAGAGAGAGCTGAAAGGGAGACAGTGACCCAGAAGGAGAGAGAGAAGACCGCAGAAAGCACGAAAGACCTGCATGGGGGGAGAGATCCTGAGGGGCAGAACCCAGAGAAAGAAAGGGGGTGAGAGAGATCAAGAAAGAGACATCCACCCAGAGAGAGGAGAGAGACAGGTGCTGGGATAGAGTACGGGAGCTCGATGGAGCCCCGCCCAGAGAGGGGCAGACATGGCTGAGAGCTCCAAGAGCCCGAGACACAGAGAAATGCAAAGGCCAAGAGGGACAGAGATCCGTGGAAAGGGGTCTGTGAGGTCAGATCGGAGTGGGACGGGCCAGACATCCAGCATAGAGGAGCACAGGAGTAGACGGAGAGGAAGGTACATTTGCTAGAAAGACGGATGAAAGACCAAAGGGAAAAATGGAGGTGGGTCACGCACAGAATTAGGAAAAGAGGAAAGAGGCCCAGCATGGTGCGGAAGTAGGCGTGTGCCCACCTCGGAGCCTGGGTGGACGGAGCCAGGGGACACAGGCACTCAAAGTGGGCTCCAGCTGACCCTGGTTCCCCCACTCTGGTGCTGGGCAGGGTCGTAGGGGCAGACTGCAGCGCAAGCGGGGGGTGTCGGGGCATATTCCACATGCTCTGGTGGCCGAGAGGATGGGCCAGCATCTTCATGTGCTGCTATCCACCGCTGGGCTCTTAACCGTGTGCCAGTCACGCTTGTACACACTTTCCCTTCATTTAAGCCTCACAGCAATCCTATGATGCAACCATGACTATGACATCATTTTATAGATGAGGAAACTGAGGCTCAGAAAGCACAAGTTACTGTCAAAGGTCCGGTGTCTAGCAGGATTGAAAAGAGTCAACATAACACTGAGCTGAGCTCAGACCCCCTTCGTGATCCTGCTTCCCCTAGAGCAACGCTACCTGATGACTGTTCACAGCATGTTGGCCCTTGTAGCCTTTTTAGATGTAGCATGTCATTGCCCTCGTGGCAGCTTGCTAGACAGAGTTGTAGAGCCAGAGTTGTTATTCCCATTTAAGAGATTAAAAAGCACACAGAGCAAAACAGGAATAGCTGAGGGATGTGTGCAAAGTACAGGCTCACATGTCGCAGACTCTGGACTGAAACCCAGTCAGGACTCTACCCAGAACACAGTGCTGCTGAGAGATGTGCACTGTGCCCGGATGGAATGCACCCCACTGCGTAAATGGTCTGGGTGCGAGTGGTGCCTGGCTGGAGTGTAGGGCAGCCCATGCAAGAGGCCCAGGGCAGGCCATCTGGAGGACAGATTTAAGGACTCTTGAGATAGCATATCTGAGTTTCAGATCTGGCTTTAGACAGTGACATTGGGCAAATTAATGAGCTAATTCATACCTAAAATGGAGATAATAACTAACTTTTTAGCATTTTATGAGAATTAAGTGAATTAATATTTTTAAAGCACTCATAATAACCCCAGTCTATACTAAGGATTGGTGTGTTATTAAGTAAATCAAATCAATAAATAAAATAAGGCAGGAATCATCATCATCATCATCATCATCATCATCCAGACCCCAGCTAGGAATGGGTCCTGGATACTGAGCGCTAGAGGAATTCAGAACTTTGGACAGCTCCCCAAGCTTCGGATCCACCATATTGNCCTGGATACTGAGGGCTAGAGGAATTCAGAACTTTGGACAGCTCCCCAAGCTTCGGATCCACCATATTGGTTGCACCTGCTCTGTAAAGTTCTTGGGCAGTGAAATGGGTCTCATCCCTCTATTTTTGGTTATCATGAGCTTGAGGATTCTCCCCACCACCCTTTAATGTCTGTTCTATGAGGACGGACACAAAGCCCTTCCAAGAGAGAGGGGGTGACATTCCTGTGGATTCGTTCTTGAGGAAATGCCCCTTTCTGGGATGAGGGACTGCACCCGATGTGCGGGACCCAGGGGCTTGTGTTCAGTGTGGGTAGGGAATGTGGCCCCGTCGATTTCTCTCAGAGTAATCACTAAGCTCAGACTGGGAAAGAGCAAGGATACAGACAGGGTTGGGGGGAGGATTAGGGATGGGGAATGGAGGCATTAATAAATTCGTAAGGTTGCAGTGTGGGCTAAGGGTTCCACACAGCTCAAGGCTTGCTTGGAGCCAGAGTCTCCTGCTCTTCCAGTCGCTCTAGAGCTGCCCCTGCCCCACTCAAATCCTGGGCCATACAAATATTGATGGCGATTCACTTCTCGTGGGAAGAAATAACCATGACCTCTCTCATTTACGACCACCCTCTATGCACCAATACCTTTGCACCCATGATCTTTTTCAGTCCTCACAACATCTCTGTGAGTGAGACATTTCCTTAGAAGGCAAGTAACTTACCCAGAGAAAAACTGCTAGCAGCGGCAAGGTGGTTGCTGTCCCCGCAAACGCACTTCCTTTCAAGAAATATCACTTGCCCTGCTGGTGTGGCTCAGCGGCTGAGCATTGACCTATGATCCAGGAGATCTCGGTTCGATTTCCTGTTAGGTCATATGCCCAGGTTGCGGGCTCGATTTCCAGTAGGGAGCGTGCAGGAGGCAACCGATCAATGACTCTCTCATCATTGATGTTCCTATCTCTCCCTCTCCCTTCCTCTCTCTGAAATCAATAAAGATATATTAAAAAAAGAAATATCACTTAGGACTAGAAACGGAGCCTTCTATGGGTTTTCAGCCTCTCTCATGACTTCCTCGCAATGAAAAATTCCTGAATGTCTCATACCTGTCATAACTACGGACACTCCAACCCAAAGGAATAAATAAGCGCTCCCTTAGACACAGCTCCTGTTAGGGCTACCTATACCCAGCCCTCCCTGCTCATGCCCATCTCTGCTCCTTCCACAGAGGAGGTGGCTGAAGGGAAGAACTCCATCCTCATTGGGATGAGCCAGTGGAATTCAAATGACCTAGTGGAGCAGATGGAGACCATGGGCAAACTGGAGGAGCATCAAGGTGAGAGTCTGCTTCTCTCTTGACCAGGATGTGTACAGACGTGCATTGCAGGGCAGGTTGAAATGCTCACAATTTGAGGCTAGGACGTGGATCATCTATGAAGAGTCATCTATCTGTCTGGGTACCTCCCCTCCATGAACCTGTGACCCCTAAATTCCGTGACCTACAGGAACCCTCATGGGGACTTCTGTGGGGTTTTCTGTGGCAGAAAAGTTCCAGAGTACTTCAACAGAGCGTCCTTTGTCCCCAGGAGCATGGGTAACTAAGGACAGGGGGAAGGGTCCAAGCTCCTTGGACTGTCAGGCCTGTGGTGTTGGAATCTGTTTGTTAAAGTAGGGTAGCAACTGGGGGAGCCTTTGAGAGGGAACAGGGGAGAGGGGCAGGAGTGGGAGTTGTAACTTTCTGGCTGAGTTGTTGAAGGAGTATGTGGCTGGGAATTAATCCAGAAGGCTTTTTATGGAAAGGAGTTTTGACCAGGAGATTAATCAGCAGACAAAGCAGGCATATCCTTTTAGGCATCCATCCATCTGTGCATTTGACCACATTGCATCACTAACAGAATGTTTGTTAAGCATCTACTGTGTATAAAGTGCTTACAGGAGGGGCCAATGGTGATTCAACTGACTTGTGATGTGTCTCACAGTGTAAGTCAAGACATAAGGGTGGTTGGGCTCAGAGGGGAGAGGCAGGAAGTTTAGAGGGAGGCAGAAGAGGGAGGCTCAAGGAAGAATTCCTGACAGTGAAGCTATGGNAAGAGGGGGGCTCAAGGAAGAATTCCTGACAGTGAAGCTATGGAGCCAGGCTTCAAAAGGCAAGTGGAGAATGCAGCTGAGGAAGTCATAGAATCTGAGGGAAGCTGAGGCTCAGAGAGGAGCTGTACATGTTTAAGGTGCAACGGGAGTGAAGAACAGAGCTGGGGCTGGCACCTATCCCAGATCTAGGGTGCTAACCTCTGTGTTTGTTATCCTGTTTTTTCTATCCCTTCTCCCCACCCCATATATCATTCTTCCAATTTCCCCATCTCTCCTCTTTTCTTCCTCTCCTGGCCCTGTAATTCCTCAGTTGTGGTCTGGGCCAGAGCTGCTTGACTGGGTACGGCCATCCTATCAGGAGCTGTTCAGTGAGATGGTCCTGGCCCAGCCCAAGAGAAAGACACATCTCGATGCTGGCTATCTCGGTGGTGGCTGTCTTGCCTGTAGCCTCTGCTCCTTTCCTCACCTCCCTCCTGCCTCCTTGGTTTTGAGCCCTCTCCATGCCAAAGTGCCCATCCTAAGAAATGAACAGGCCTGGGATGACTGTTCCATTTGACAAAAAGAAACCCAAGGCTCAGAGAAGCTCTGTATTGCCCCAGGTCCTCCAAGTTGGTGGCAGCATCATGCTCAGATCTCTAGTCTCTTGGTTCCCAGATCAGGGCTTCATTTCTCAAATTGGACTGAGGCCAGGCACAGTCCTGGGCCCCAGCAAATTCGGGTCCATGAAACTCAGAGTCTTAAAGGAAACCCCTCCCCCCAGGCTACTGTCACATTCGTAGGAAAGCAGGCTCTGAGTCTGGTCATCAAGGCCAGTCCAGGGTCAATTTCCCAGTCTTCAGAGGCACACATTTGCAGATGGACCCTTGTCTGCTCTTTCATTCACCTCAGGAACCATGGAAGGGACCCCAAAGGGGCCGTGGGTTCCAGTTGCTTCCCCAAGACAATACTTGATAGCCACGAAAAGACAAACCCAGACTTGTATTCACCACCCATCTGGTCACCCATTTCCCATCACCACCCCTCACTTATCTGCCAAAAGCTGTATGACTCAGACACAGAGAGAGCTAAGGAGTGGGTGAGCAAGAGGCAGTGTGACTGGGAGGGCAGGGGGGAAGGCAGCAGAGGGAGAGGGGTGGGAAGGGCTGAAACGGCAGCTTTGGAAACTAAGAGGCCTGGGTCTGAATCTTGGCCCTGCCATCCTGTGGCTTTGTTGCCAGGGAAACTCACATCGCCTCTCTGAGCCTCAGTTTCTTCATCTGCAGAATGGGGCTAGTACAAAATCTGTGAGGATCAAATAAGCGAATACTTGCAAACTTCATTGAATAACAGGTCATTAGATTGCTGGGAGAGGGGGAGAAGCATGGAAGACGGTGCACGAGTACAATTCTAACAGATGCTCCGTAGCACTCAAGAGAGGTTGAACGAGGGGCAGTGCTTTCCTGAGTCGAGAGCTGATGCTGTTTCCTCCCGGTACAGAGTGGGGAGCAGGAGGGAGAGAGAAGAGGGGGAGAGGAAGAGGGAACCAGCCTTGTTTCCAGCTCCCTCTGAGTCTCCTTCCCCAGGAGTTTCATAATGAGAATTCCCACAACACGGCAGAACACACACATTAATTTCATTCATTTCAACAGTCATTGATGGAGCCACAGCAGAGGCTCAGCCCAGTGCTACAAGTGGGGAAATAAACGGGAGCAGACTGGCACTGTCACTCTTTTAGGAGCTCACAGCAGAGAGGAAGTCTGTGCAACAAGACAGACTGAGTAGGGGGCCTTAGGAGAGGCTCGGGGGGCTTCTTTGGGAGAGGAAAGCCTGAAAAACACTTTATGGAAAGGGCTAAAGTTAAAATTGGTGGTATAAATAGATCTCTACTCCTGCCTCCTTCAAGCTTCCTTCCCTGAAACGTGGGGCTCGACCCCCTTTCAAGGCTCATGCTCCGGCCCATCACAGCTACCTTCGGTGATGAGCTCCAAGTCCATCTCTGGCCAAGGCCTCTCTCCTGGGCTCTGCACTTAGATTTTCAGGATTTCCCTTCCTGGGTATCCTGAAGACTTTTCATTGTCTACAAGTTCCAGATGGAGCCAGGCTTCTCCCTCCTAAACCTTCACTATGTCGTAGCCCATCTTTTGTCCCCTTAGCCATTTAAAGCCTGCATTGCTTGGGCACATTCGGGCTGCGCTGTTTCCTCCGGTGTTGGAGGGATCTAATTCTGGGTGTTTGTGCATGGGTGCGCACGTGAGTGCATGCGAACCGTGTGCCTTGGGTTTTTGTGAACTCCTCTTGGTCAATCCTTTTCTGTGGGAATCTTGTGTGCCCTAGGTTGTGAAAATGTTCTTATGAGAGACGGGTTTTGTATTTCTGCTGGGCCCAAGTGCTTCATTCATCTTGGACATTTTACATGCTCAATTTAGTTTCGTGTTTCCATTCTGGATGAGGGCTGCGCATGTAGACCCCACACCCGTATGTGGCAGAAGCTTAGGGTTTTGATTATTCACATGTGACTTTTTTCTTTTTCCCTGTGTGTGAGTGGTTTCCTGCTTCCCCAAAGGAGAGGTGTGTCTTTTTAAGAACCTTTATGGACGGAGCAGCCCTTCAACAATCCCTGCTGTGCAGGGGGCTCCATTGTAGCGTCTTACCAGCTCCCACAGCCCGAGGCCAAGTCTGTGGAGGTAGTTGTGCGGTTTTCAGCCTCTAGTCCTGGAGCCTCTATCCCTCGGAGACTTCCACAGGCCTGCTCCAGGCTGCTTCTGCCTTCCTCTAGAGGGTAGCTCCCTTGTTGTTCCTGGCACTTGTGAACGATCCATCCTTTATTTTGAGCTTGGTGATATATTTCCATTTTTTTTTGGTAATATATTGCTCAGCATATATGTTTTTAAATGAAGGGAATCCTTCAGCATCAGTTCAGTTCACTTATTTTTTACAATTGCATGTATGGTTATTTTATTTAACATTTTAAAAATTTGGTAAAATATACATAATATTAAACTTATCATTTTAACATTTTCCAATGTACAGTTAGTTTAGTGGCATTAAGTATATTCATATTGTGCAACTATAAATCATCCATCTCTAGAACTTTTTCATCTTTCCAAACTGAAACCCTGTACCCATTAAACAGGAATTCTCCATCCCCTACTCTCCTCCAACCCCTAGTTCCTGCCATTCCACAATCTGTCTCTATGAATTTTACTGCCCTAAGGACCTTATATAAATGGAATCATGTGGTATTTATCTTGAATACATTCTCATTGTAAACAAACAAACACAAAGAAAACCCAAGTCTCCCTTATCTCCTTTCCATCGCAGACCTTATTGCAGAGTTTATCAATGCGGAGGGTATCTCTATAGAGACAGATCGTGTTATGCGTTATTGCTGCCACTTAACTTTTATTTTTCATTTAATAGTACATCTTGGAGAGCCTTTCAAATGCATGCATATAGATTCAATGCATTCTTTTTACCTGTGCTGTAGTTTCCTCCACGGTAGATGGACCATAATTTATTTAGCAGTTTTGTAGTGATAGACATTGAAAGTTTTCATTATTAAAAAAAAGCTACGTGGGTAGAAAGTATAAACATTGACAGTTGTAACAGACCTGCCAAACGTTTTCCAAAAAGAGTGCGAATTTATATTCACACCAGCAGTGGATTCGGTTACCATTTCTCTACAGCGTTACCCGGCTTGATCTCATCAACCTAAAACTTTTACCTGATTGATGGGTGAAGATTTTTGTTGTTGTTATGTTTTGTCCTGACTTGATTGCTAGTGAGATCGATCATCTTTTCATCAATGTGTTGGCCAAACCTATTTTCTTTTTTCTGTATTTCTTAAACATGCTTTTTTGGGGCTCATCTCCTATTGGATTATTTGTCTTTTTTACTGTTTTTTAGTAGTTCTTCACATTTATTCTAGATAGAAATTGTTCGTCTGCTATCTAGTTGAAATATTTGCCTCTTAAATGAGTGCCACTTGTCCGAGTTTTCTTATTGGGGCTCATAGTGTGTCCGTTGACTCTCTTGAGCCTTCTGAGCATCACATCACTCACAGATCTTGACTGTTGTACCCTTGCCAATAGTTACACTGCTTGCGTATCTTTCTTACTAAATTACGTCGCACAGGATCTCCGGGCAGAGGCTGAGTAGCAGGAATGACAGCAGGCTGTCCTGTTTGGTCCCGATTGTAACGCTGTCATCTCCTCCCCTCCCCCTCCTGCTCCTTCTACAGTTAAGCACATCGAGGTGTGATTTACTTCC